CTGGTCTACGTTATTTCTCAAATATTCTTCGTCCCAACGACCCCAAAAACAAGAATCGGTGGCCGAGCAAGTTATTAACGTTTTCTATAAAAGTATATTAATCACATCTCGCCACGCCCTCTAGCGGCTAAACACCAAATAATTTCTGCCATACCATTCTCGAAGGGTATGAAAAAAAAACAATAATTAATTTTACTCTGCGGCATTTCTTAGGGCGGACGTGTTTTTAGATATTTTCTGCCTTCGCTTTTTAAGGCAGGTGGACACTAGATGATTTGGGAAAAAATATATTGGACTAGCAGTCGCCCGCGACTTTATCGGAATTAAAAAAAACATGATTAGTAGCGTATGTGTCCTTCTTGACTGTAATCTACATATATGTATGCCAAATTTCATCGGGTTCCGTTCAGCCGTTCTAGAGATACCTTCAAACAAACATCCATGCATCCATTCACCCATCAATCTAAAGATTCGCATTTATAATATTAGTAAGATGTTTACAAAAATCAGTTGAGAAATGTCTTAATATAATAGAATTAAAATTCCTACTTATTTTGACAAAGATTAATATGTTTGATACTATTTTTCTAGGTGTTGTAGTTAGGATGTGATTGTAAATCCTGGTTAGTATTCAGTGAGCTATCACCATTGGTATTATCGATTAGTATAAATAATATAAAGGTATAGAGCTCGTCGGCAAAGATCACTGACGGGGCTGACCAATGGGGCGCGAGCACGCAAATGTCAGCGGCCGCACGTGTGTTTTGACACTCATATAGAGCTGAGAATACGCTGTTGTTATAAAAACTATCTGACCCCACTAACCATCCCAATAGATTGGTCTAAAAGTATAGAAATATTTAAAATAATTTGTCTTATATTCTTACTTATATTATGCAAATGGATGGATGGATGTTTATATGAATGTATCGCCAGAATAGTCTGGAAGAAACCAGAGGCTACTCATTATTTTTTTTATTCTTCGCGAACGGAGTCCGACAACTAGTACAAGAATATAAAAGTCAAAAAATGTCATATAAATTTCATCGCTCGATCAAATATAGCACCTAATTTATTTTAATGGCAACCATATTAACTGTAATTCAAAAAATAGTTATTACGTTATCGTGATATATCAAATGCGGTGGTGTTGCGTGCTCTATGTTAGTTTGCGACTGAAATATACATGAGTTTGAATGTACCCTCGGACAATCGCACTAATTAATGGTCACTCAATTTTACGAATTGTTTGTTAGTTGTTGAGTGGGGACTCATCTCTTTGTTTATCGATTGTTCACAATATTTGTATACTAGCTGACGCCCGCGACTACGTCCGCGTAAAATAAAAAAAATACTGAATTTATAGCCCATGTATTCTTTCGGAATATACGTGTACTCTACATCTATACAAAATTTCATTGATATCGAGCCGTTTTGAAGAAACCTTCTAACAAACATCAATCTATCTAAACATTCACATTTATGATATATGTAAGTAAGAAGTTCGGGAATTTTTTAACGATTTAAATATGGGCTTAGCTTTGGTTTTTTTTTACTTCGATGGTATAGTACTTTTGAAAAAGCATCTAAAACTAACATAAATGATAACATTTATAATTACGTTTACATTAATAAGTATAAAGGGTGATTCAGACTGATAAAAATATTTTCAAAGTCTATTGTACGTCTTTAACAACATATTAACAGTTTATAAAAGTTGTGTTTCCCGTTGGGCCGATCAGTTTACCGATCGATCGGCCCAATGGGAAACAACCAACAAAAGTAAAGGAATGCGTTCTCAGTTAGGTGTCAGCAACAAACATTATTAAAGACGCACGTAGGTAAGTGTAGAAGTTGTGCGCCGATAGCCAATCAATCAGCATTCGACACGGACATCGATGAGTAGGGTGACCATAAATATACATTCTAAAAATGGTATGATTAATGTCTACTTATCATTAACCCACTTAATGTGTGTTTGATGCATCAGATTTTCGTCCTATCAATCTGTTACTCGTCATTTAAGTCATTACTCCCTTCTTAATTGTGACATCTTTAACGCAAACCCTTCACCCCTTCCTTGACCAAGGCGATGTTTTTCAGGATATAAACAGATATTTTTAAAAGCAAGGTAAAATTAAAAGATATTCAATATCTAAAAATATGTAGAGAAGTAAAGGTACATCCACACATCCGTTGATTACACAAACACCGCACTCAATTATAAGCGAACCACCGTGGAACCGCGACCTAATACGATCGTGTGAAATGCCACGTGTTCTTTACCCTCCCGATTCCAATTTTCCTTTATGTGTAGGGTGAGGTGGGCGATCGTCAGTTAGGAGACATTCCTACACGAATTATAGGTGATACGGAATGATTGTGTTTACTATAAGCTTACATTCGGTTGTAATTTAATTAACAATATAATTAGTTTTTATTCCTCCAAGTACAAAAGTACGCTGTTCTATTTGTGTTTGACATTTTTGACAACAGTAAATGAGTATTTACAATTGACAAAAATGAATGTTATTATATAAGTGTTTCTATCTAATTTATATCGTGTGAGTGAGGTATTAGATTTATCTGTGTTGCTATATGTTTAATTAATTTACCATCCCTTAATCATTTTCTTTCCTTTATATTTTCTTTTTATTAGAAAGTATTTAGTCCAACGAAATATCTGATAATCTGCCTGATGCGCACTTTTTCTAAGTATTTATGGTGTTTTTCCATTGTTTTTGTCCAGATCTTTCGTCAGTGAAAATCTACTATTTTTTATAGAATACGGGAAAATCGAGCCTGATCCGTAGGTCTTTGATATTCGCAACACAAGTGAAACGGATAAGTTGCCGGCCTTTAAATAAAAATGTATCTCCTGTTTGTTGAATCCAGCGCCCGAGTATATCAGTGTATTATATTTGGTATAATAATCATCATCTGCTAACCATACGTCCCAACTGAGTGCCTCGAAGCCTAATTGACTATGACCTAGTCACTCCTGACTAGGACATAGTCAACCACGTTGGCTCATTGCGTTTTGACTTCACACATAACTGAATTTCTTCGCGGGTATGTGCACGGGTTCTTTGGTATTAGAAAATTGAAAAGCAATTTATTAATCGAATAGAGTTTATTCTTACAGACAATTCCATTATGTTTTTTTAATTTCCTAAGTACATAGATAGCAGCCTGTACTGGTTAACACTTACGCTAAGGGACATACTAAATACATTTTGTTATACAACATCCATTCTTCATGTTATTGAAGAAACTTATTTACAGATTTTATTCACATAGAGTAGAGTATATAATAATTTTGTCCAAACAGTCTCGTCTTACATAAGCGTGATTTTCCAATGAGACATTTATAAAACATAGAAAGCATATAATGATTCGGGTGTGAGAGAAATTAATTTTAAACTAAAATCATTATTCGTTTTATATTTTGTTACGAATATATTTCCGTTTTAAATTTCAATGCAAAATAATTCACATGAATATCTGTTTAATTGGATTTTATAAATATAGAGTTTTAAATGCATATTTATTTTAGAATACCTAAATTTATAAATAATATTTTCAACAATTATTTAGAGAAAGTAAATGTCTATGGTAGACAAAAAATTAAGGATTTCACTGCAAAATATAAGACAGTTTTTAATTACAGATTATTAATTTAAACATATGTAAACCCTTTTCACTCGCTTATTAGACATTGCCAGGTTTCTCGAAATGCGATCTTGACAAATAAATAACAAATTACTAATACCAGAAGCACAGTTTTGGTGAGAAATATTGAAAGATATTTTTTTTTATAATCACGTTGACATCCACATTCACTGGTAGTCAAAAGCTTTATACGTGTTTAACTAAACAATATCTAACTGTATTTTATGGATTAAATCAGAAATTTAATCATTATTCCAATAGTTTTTTACTCAAAATTACTTTTAACATTTAAATGCTAATTATTTTAATTAGCTAAAAAGTTCGTGACTGAAAAAATAATAGGAAAAGTTCACGAATGCACTTAAATATTACAAAACTGTTACAATGTTATTATCTATTACATTTACCGTGGGTTTCTGATACTAAAATCTTTGTACAAAACATATCGTTATCCTTGTCTTACAAAAGAGAGATAACAATATGTTTTAAACGGGGGTTTTGGCCTTAGAAACCCATGGTAAGTATTTTCAAAATTTCAAAACAAGTTTCATACATCTTAATTTGAAAATCCGCACCTGGATAAACGCCTTCTAATTAAGTTAAGCTTTTTAAAAGTTTCGGAAATCAAAAGAACATGTATAATAAATACATATATCTAGCTATGTAAATATACATGTATCAAGTTAATTATGTACCGGTACATCTACGTTATATTATACATAAAGATTCATCTATTTATTTACATAAACACCTTTTATGATGAAACCTGTGTACCAGACATGTTTCCAGGATATATTTTATTTACAAATCATATATTTACAACTACAATACCTTTTTTAAGATTTATAACTTAATTTAAATAACAATTTCATTTAATTATTGGGTTATTGAAATTATAAAATAAATACAAAAATGCGTTACACATCTATCTTAAAATAGGAACCAAAACAATTATTCTATGCTATTATTAATATAGTAAAATAAATTATTTTTAAAAGTAAACTTAAAAAAAATCTTGACATTATAAAATTTTATTTCTGTACACTATACAAATACATATTAAATTCTATACATTTTAAGATTCAATGTTATTTTAAATACAGTTAGTCAATGGACAGGTTATAAAATAAACCTTAAGAAAAAAATAATTATGTTGTTTATTTTGCATGCATGACACAAAGGTTTGTGTCAAAATTACTATTATTTAAATTAAATTTTTTATTTTACCGAAGATTTCTATTTAAAAATTAATAATTTTGGAGAAAAAAAATCCGGAATGATTTAAATACTGCACGTCACCACTGATCGCCGTTAACTTTAAAAAAAATACAACACGTCACAGAGCACTGCGTTCGAAATTCGAAATTCATAACGTCACATTCGTTCATAAAAGAACTCCGTTATAAAAGTCCACTTTGTAAACCGTTGAGCCGCATCAGTCGTGGAAGTCCCGCGGCTCCGGCTTCAGCTACCAGACGAGACCCTCGGGGTGCAAAGGAGGTGGAGCGTCACCAAAGGTGAACTCGGGGGAGGAGGGTCTCGGCAACACGAGGTGGTCCGGTGGCGGGAATTGCTCTGGAAACTCGCCGCCCGGCAGCGACTCCATACCACCTGCGAAACGACCTGCTCACGTTACTACGCGCCTGGTACTTTGTACACATGTGGTTACACGCACGTACATCTGATCTCTGTGAGGGTAACTAAGACAATTACTAAAAGTAGTGACAAAAATTGGTCATTGTAAATTATCTAACCAAATTACAGATCAAATAAATTTTTGTCTTTTAATATCTATGTTAATCATCTACAAATATACTAAAAGATTAAGAATAAAATAGCACAACTTATTATGACTTGTAAGTCTTTATACCTGGCTGATTGAAGGGCATAGTGGGTGGCGGGTGGAAGAATGGCGCGTCATGGTGGAACGGCGGCCCATAGCCAAACTCGAACTTGCCATCTGCAGTCGCGAAGTAAGGAAACCCCGGCGGCCCCTCCTCTAGTCCCCCTGGCGATAGGTTCATTGGGAATCCCCGCATCTTGCGAGATGACCCGAAGAATGGACCCCTGCCCATAGACGTCAGCTGTTTTAAACGACGCTCTTTCGATCGCTTGTTTTGGAACCACACCTGTTAGAAATAGAATTAATTAATTTCAGATAAACGTATATTTCTTGATTAAATAATAGAATTCACTAGCTATTTGAGATGTATTATAGACGAAAAATACACAAGACAAAAATGTCATAGGTAAGGACAGAATACAATAAGTTGTCGAAGTGATTCTAAAGCACGTTAGCATAAATAAGTTTAAATGAATAACAGATACTTGGAATTTACTTTTTATTTCGAGTAAGGAGGTTATAAAAAGGAGATTGTACATCTACATATAGATGCAATCGTAACCGCACAATAAAACGGAATGAGAACTTCGTAAAAGCGATACGAGATCGGTCGCAGGGAAATCGCACCACTTTGTCGGTCCGTCTCCGAGCAAAGTTTTATAGTTACACCATTGCTCGGTTTTTGTGGTCGCTACAAGAGTATATTTGCACGTCGTATATTGGTTTATATCGCGCACTTACAATTTAATTACATTCAGACCACAGAAATGATCGATATTATTGTTTCATAACAACCATGTCCTTTCTACCAAATTCTGACGTTTCATCACGCCCTCGTATACAACGAGCCTCATTTGAATGATGTTCTAAATTCAAATTTTTAGAACTTTTTATTTTTAAATCACAATACAGAAAGTATTATTCATTTGATATCCTTCTGTTATTTTCATTCGTGATAGCAGTTAAGTCTATGCCTGAACGTTGTAATCGAGTTCTGAAAACCCAATTAAGTAACGCATGTCCGTGACATCAAGAAGTGCCGATACTAATGTCTTTTAAATTTTTCATAAACAACCAAATAACACGCGAATCTGCGTTTATTAAGACCGAAGCCATACCTACCTGTAGAACAATCGCATTTTTCTATAGCAATGGCCTGACCAATGTAAAGGAGTTGAAATAATATACCATAGCATATATTCCTTCTCCAATTTGAAAATGGCACAATTATAAAATCATATTCAGACGGTCGTTACGCGTTCACGGCGCGTTATACCCGTCGCGTGCGTCTGCGCAACTAATCCGGCGCTTTAACGACCGTGCGTTATCCCCTGTCGTGTGGCACTTCCATTATAAAGACAGTGGCATGCTATTGAAAAATAGTAACGCCTTGACTGTCAAGTTATTTGTGTCATTGTCAAATTATTACACTTATTACTTGTATGAATTATTTTAATAAAAAATGAAAAGAATCTTCCAACTTACATATTTGTGAAAAATATATCTTACTAATATTATAAATGTGAATGCTCGGATGTGTGGATGGATGATTGTTAGAAGTTATCTCCAGAACGGCTACATCTCTCCGAAATTTGGCATAAATGTAGAACATAGCCTGAAAGAATATAGGCAACTATTTATATGTACGGAGTCGCCGGCGACAGCTAGACTCTCCTTTAAGATGAGTAAATAATATTATGTATACATAAAGAACCGGACAGTAGTTCTACAACAGTAATTACATGCAAAACAATTATCATCAGTAATATGAATCATATCGGAGCCTTCAGCGACTACAAATGTGCATTTTGTGCAAATGTGTGCGTGGGCGAGGCGGCACATCAAAGGAACGCAGCGGGACTAGTGGTGTACAGAAGTTAGGTTCGAAACGAAACGATTTATTCGATTTAAGTGTCTTTAAATTTTATATCGATTGTTTATAGTTATATTTAATTCGTTGACTTTATTAATAACTAGCCATCCGCGACTCCGTGCACGCAGAATTAAAAAAAATATTAATTAGTACGTGTTATACCAAACTATGTTCTATACCTAAACCAAATTACAGCGTTATCCATGCAGCTGTTCTGGGACACCTTCTAACAAACATCCATCCATCCATCCAAACATTCGCATTTATAATATTAGGAAGTTAGTAAGATATTGCGGTAAGCTTTACGTACTAGTAAAATTTATGTTTTACCGTTCATAAGTATGGACTTAACTAGACAATAAAATTAAAATAATATACGCGACTTACATAATATACTTCTCGTATATTTATTTACTTGTATACTACTACAAGACAGTAATTAAGCAATATTTATTACCAATAACTTTTATCTTAACTCCCATCTTTGCATACGCTTGGATAAAGTCTTACACACATTTTAGTATATGCCATAACATAAAGCTTGGCCAGAGTGGTTTACTATGGCCTAATCACCCTTAACTTAGGGTAGACTCCTAGCCCCTCAGTAGGGATGTGAGTTGTTGATAGAGTGAGCTGATGATTATTATATTTAAGACGAAGAATACGTTTATTGCCCCAAAGTGAAACAAAATATACAATGTGTAGATTTCATTCTATACACAAAGTCTTTGGCAACATTATGTTAAGATGACATAAATTTGTAATGCCACTAGAGCAGTAGTACTGTGACGTCACGCCGCGTTAATAAAAAAAGATAAAACTTGTCTATTACAACAATCGGCAAAACTGACCTTGAGACTATCACCAATCATTATACTACAATGAAATAAAACGTTTGTCTGTTAATCAATCTTATTAATATAAATGCGAAAGTTTAGATGTATGGATGGATGTTTGTTATCTATCCATACATCGAAAAATTGGCATTTTTAATATTATTAGTATGAGGAAGATCCGAAGTTGTGCCGGTGTGTTGACGCAACACCTTACTGGGATGTGGACGTTTATGTCCCCTCGCTGTTCTCTCTGACTCTAGACTTTGTAACGAAAGCCTGTCATTCACGTCAAATGATTCTAACTAATACCGTCTAAAAATTAATATGATTATTTTAGAAAATAGCGCGAAAGAGGTCGCTGGCTATAGTTAGTTTTGTCCGTCGACCGTTTGGATAACGTTAAACGTTCCAAATTGACGTGTTCCGTTATTTTATACCCAAAATTATAACGTTTATTACTTAATCGCACCACTCATAGACAATCTCGGTTAAAAAATTGATGGACAAAAAAATTGTAAACATAATCTTTGGCTATTAAAATATTTGGGTTGAATGTGTTTCATTTTTTTTTTATAATAGTTTTACTATAAGTGAGCTGTAACGTATTCTTATCTAATTGGAATAAACTGGACAAGGTATTGTAATAAGAAATCTTACTAATATTATGAACTAGCTGTCGCCCGTGACTCCGTCCGCGTGGATATATAAAAAAACGTAATATATAGATAAGTTAAAAAAAAACAGCTCTTCAAGGCATAACTTAGAAAAAAAAAGAATAAATAGTGTCTTATGTCTATCTCCTGGCTCTAAGCATGAGGAGGTGTCCTCACCAATTTTCAGCTATAGCGGCAAATACGTTCTTGAGTTATAAATAGTGTAACTAACACGACTTTCTTTTATATATTTGGATGTGAAAGATTAGATGAATGGATGTTTGTTTGAAGGTGTCTTCAGAACGGCTTCGCAGAAGATATCGCTGAAATTTGGCAAACTTGTAGACCATAGTTTGGAAGAACACATTGGCTACTATTTAAGTTTTTTAATTCCGCGAGAACAGAGTCGCTGGAGTCAACTAGTGTAATAAAAAGTGTAATGAGCTAGGACAGTATGACTATAGAGTTTCGAAGACGAAAATGGAATCAAATAGAGTCACTAAAATATAGGGTTTTTTTCATACTCTGTTCTTGCAGAATATATATCTTAATAAATGCCTAAGATATCTTTGATAAACATGTGATGAATGTATCTTTTCATATTTTTGATTTTTTTCATATTTTACAACTTTGTTTTGATTTTAAATTTCAAATTGTTTGTGATATAATGACGACTCATCAAGCTGGACAACTCTTAACGTCCATAAAATTTATACTACAAGACATTCATACTTAAACCGTGCTTTCTAAATATACCGTTTTTATGTTTATACTAAACTATCGATAAAACTTTACAACTTACATCACTAACAATAAACTTGCACACAGATTTACAACAAACATATTTGCAATATTAATTTACAACATAAATAATAAATTCATAGTTGTCGAAGCTACAAAACTAAGCTATATTTTAGGTGCATAGTTTTCTAAGCTATTTTATATGTTGTAACACTAGGAGCTAGGTTTTATGTTACTTTTATAGTATAATGATAAAGTTTCGTTTAGGGTGAGGTTACACTGTAGTGAGTCGGAACCGGCCTCGCTGCGGGACGCCGGTGTGAACAAGCCTTGTGGTGTTAAACACTATAATTCATACGTACTGCTGTGAAGGGGAGGTCCATTCTTATATCGAAGTAAATTTTAAAAATATATTTAATTTTAGTGTAGATATTAGTTGTTACTTAACTCTAACTTAACTATAAAACTTTTGTCTCCTGTGCGTTTAATTCTTTTTTATGAGAAATAATGTAATACTCTAAAAATTTATTATCTTGCATAGAAGACTCTTTGTAAACAATTTTTCTATTAAAATCATATTAATTAGATAATCATAGTGTAAATTTTATCAGAACTTACTATAAAAATACTTACAATAAGCTTTTGCAACGAACACAATACTAAGTATAAACATTTTTTACTTAATAGATTGCTTGTTAGAAAACCTTTTTATGTTAAGATTATATACATAATTCATACATTTCATCGCAACTATAATATGGACGATAAAAACCATTGCGGAATCACCCTGCGGCAAAGTATAAAAGATGATTAATACGAGCCGGGCGCGGACATTGTTCCCGTCCCCTGTACCTGACCAAGGCGCCCCCTGTCGCTAATGAGTCGACGTTACAGCGGACCATAACAGATAACACTAGCTATATAAATTCGCCCGTTTTAATGCTAACTACCGACTTTGACGATTAAGTAAACAGTCGGAGTCGAAGGTTGAGTATTAAAGATATAAATATATTCACATATCTTTTTAAAGGATTGAATATGCGAATTATGTTTTGGAACTAGCTGTCGCCCGCGACTACGTTCGCAATTAAAAAAAAACGTAATAAGCAGCCTATGTGTTTTCCAGACTATGTTCTACGTAGCTAAGCGATTTCGAAGATACCTTCAAACAATCTATCCATCC